TTTCATGACATCATCTGACAGGAAGCAGCTGTGGACCTAAGCTGTTTCAGATATTCCTTTATCAAAGTTACTCTGTTTCTTTATTTTTCATTTAACTGGGTAGAGATGAATCCCATTCAGAAAATTGTAAGGGTGCACATGTGTTGCAGCATGAGTATGTGTGTGTGTACCTCGTTGACTGCACACATCCGTGCAATGGATCCTATGTTGTTTGTGATGGTGACCAGTGTGGCTTTAGCCAGGTCTTCCTTACTGATGCTGTCTCGCTTCTCTTTGCTCATCATGTGACCAAAACTGCAAAAAAACAGACCATCAGAAACATTGACATGTAAACATTAACACAGACACACTTTCCTCATGAGTGCTACTCAAGTTTGATGAACTTATGACCAAACACACAGAACATGACCCTCTGGTAATGTCACAATAACCTGTGTTATTAAGTGTGTGTTTAATTTCAATATAAAAAACATGAAACGGTGATAATAATGTGAAGACTGATACAATCTGCTTCTCACTTTGCTTCATGGATCAACCTTTGAACACAGAGCTGCAGGTTTAATTTATATAGCCAAACCCAGATTAGCAAGCAAAGGTCCAAGTTTGCACGCAAGTAAGAGTGTGTTTATGTGTGTGTGCCTAGTAGGCTATGATTTCATACCGCATTTGCTGTTAGGTGTATTTGTGTTATTACTTTATCCTTTGTGCAGCCATACATACAGAGCACAACACGGCACTGTGGTTTCACACTAATTTGATTCATGTTTATGTTGTTTGACCAACTTCCTTAATAATTTGAAAAAATAAATGTGCGCATTGAGCCTGTTTCATCCACTTTACATAATTAATGCAATTATTTATATCATATAACTTAATTATTTGTATATTTTGTTCCAAGAAGTTCAGTCTAGGTTTATCCAGATTTTTACTAAGCAATATATAGAGCACTATTATTGAGATATACTTCACGGCTGTACCAAAATCAGTGTTTTCCAAGTCAAGCAATCAGAGGAGGTCTTGCTGAAGTGTTTGCATGTTGACCCTCAGGAGACCCTGGTCCCTCTCACCTGGAGGCGACAGCAGAGCCCTGCAAGCCGAAGCGCTCGTAGTCTCCTCCGTAGATATCTTTCACCAGTTTGTCCACGTTGGTAGAGTCGCCCTTGCTGGCCATTTCCAAGGCCTCCTCGAACGTCTCGCAGCCCGTCAGCAGGCAGCAGAGGCCCAGGAATGTACCGCCACCCAGACTAAAGGTGAGAGAGGAAGTGAACAAGCTTAGTTCAAGTAAGGGAACGAGAGGAAAATATGGGAGAGTTGTTTTGAACCGAATAATCCAACTTTTCCCATTAATAGTATACCATACATTTGGAATAAGTTTAAGAAGAATGAACTGTGTTGCCTTGGCTGATTTAATGGGTGAACTACTTTTTCCACATCAATATGCTCTCAATATGCATATAATGTCATGCATCATTGTAAAATGTATATATCTGGAAAGTGCATACATTTGCTATGAGCTCTGAGAAATAGCATTATTTAATCTTTTGTTAAAAATGTATCAGTAGATTAAATGATAAAGAAAATTATTCTTAGGGACATTTATGATAATGTGATGAAATGAGATCTGGGTTGACAGATCTGTAAGAAAAACTAAAACAAGAAAATGTTTTAGTTTGCCTCATGCGATCAAAAAATATGATCGCATAATCTTAACAATAAATTCTTAGCCTATAAAATCAAGGTGGTTAAATCGGAACTAAAAATAATTGGCCTTAGAATCTTTTCTATTGTAGCTGTGAACATTTGGCTATTTTAAGAAACCACTTGCATTGGCAATTTAACAAGTATCTGGTAGTTCCAGTTCAGTTAGGCACATATTTAAAGACAAAGTGTTCAGTCTTAGGAACAAGGAACATAGTATACTATTTCTGTCGTCAACATGATTTCATCATGTCTGGGCGGGACTTCTTTGTTTTCACCAGCTCACTATCTAATCACAATATCCTCCTTCTATTACATAGAAGGTACATAAGGTAACCATAGATAAAGAACAGCTGGAAGTCAACAACCGACGATTCTGGCTTATCTTTTTAAGCTGTAAAAGGTATGCAGCCACCTTCACCTTTTGCACATTTTCATTCACGCAAAACAACTCGCTGCTTTAGGGCACTAGGTGGACTTCAGTAGAACGAAACAAGTGGATTCTTGTTAGTGTTTTTGGGCTCAAAGGACAACATTTAGTGTCATTGATATCAGTCTAAGCTTCCCGTTAACAATGTCGCTGCTTGTGGGTTTGAGCTGGTTTCCTCACCTGGTCCCAGTCACGCGTTTGTAGTCGTTCTCTGAGTAAACGGCCAGGATGGAGACCCCAGAGCCGATGTTGACCAGCAGCATGGGGAAAGGGTTGTCCAGGGTGCAGGTCTTCTTCACGCAGCTCTGGGTGTCCGAGGGGTTCTCGAAGTAGTATCCCTCTGGGTGTCCGTTGAAGCTAACCCTGTCCACGTACAGCAGACCCCGGATCAGGCAGTCTAGCTCGTCCAGCTTCAGCAGCTCCAGGTCGGCCATCTGCAGCACAGAGAGCGGAGGAAGAGAAACCGTTCAAATAAACACATCAGCGAGGTTTCAGCCATTTAAGATGATTTAAAGTAAAAGATCGTTCCTTGGAAGCATTAACCCAGAATGATTTACAAAGCACTTTAGGTCGGAAGTGTGCATGTTTCTGCTTAGTTTCTCCTGCAGAGCCAAGAGAGTTCATTGATCTGGTACTGCACTGCAGAGAGGGTCAATGAACTCAGGTAGACAGGCACTGAGACGGACAGATGTCAAAATGTGCTCACGTCCAAAAATCATAACGCAAGAATGAGCTACTAACCTCAATAAAATGCAAAGTCATTGAGAAGCACAGACATTTCTGCTCAAACCAGATTAGAACTGGTGGGAATTTTAATTCTGTTGACTGGAAATATGACAAAGCTGTTTACATGGTGTTGTTAGCCTGGACTGAGGCTGCACTAATGGTTGTTTTCATTATTGATTCATTTGCCAATTACTTTTACGCCTAATTGTGTGGTCAATAGAACTACTAGAAAATGCATGTTGTACTTTCTACTGGGCAAGGTGTGTTTTTTTTGTTCAACCAGCAGCCCAAGAAAATACATTTGAGAATCCTCCCATTTGAGAAGCTGGTGAATAATTGATTGCCATATTAGACACATATTCATTTTCTGCATTGTTCCTGTATTTGCAGCAGTAAACATATGCTTGCAATGAGAAATGTTGTTATTTGGACATTTTTGCATAAAACTATTCAAGCACGTTCTCTGGCCTCACCGATCTGAATTCATTCTCGAACTTGTAGGCCCCGCCCCCGGTGGCGCAGAGAGTCGTGTGCAGGCTGGAGAAGTTCTTGTCCCGCCCCATCTGGATGAAGCGGGGCATGGCCTGCGTCGGGAAGCGGATGAAGTGCAGGTTCCCCGTCCGGCCGCACATGGTCAGGTTCCTCAGCTCCAGGTGGACGTCACGGACGCCCGTTTTACCTGAGCGAGGGAGGGAATGATTATCAAACTATAAGATTCTGTAACAATGCACTCATGTCCATTTAGAAAGTGCAAACACGTGACCAACTTTCCAGTTCTTGTGAGGGTGGGAGGGATTCTGTTGTATATGTAACAAAAGAGGGGTAGTAGTGCAATTTCCTGTAATAAGAAAACCAAAAATGTGAAAAAAATTGTATTGTCTGGTAAATCTGCACACAAGAAATTCAAAAAAGAAAAAAGAAAGTGCAAACACACTCTTCTTAATGCAGTGGTTAAAGTTCAACTGAGAACTTTCTATAATCTTTGCTATCTTCATAGTGTCCTTGACCTCCCTTGCCCTTTCTTAGGTACACAACTGAGTCTAGAGATGCAAGAATGTGGGTGTAACAACAGAGGTGTGTGTGTGTGTGTGTGTGGATTTACCATAGGCCACGTTTGAGGTGAGGTAGCGCCGGATGGACTTGAGGTTTTCCACTTCTTCCTGTTCTTCCTCTGCTGTTATGTCGACTGGCTCAAAGTACACCAACTTCACCAGCGTGCCGCCGATGTCCATACCAAACCAGGGGAAGGCTGGAGAGAAGAATGACAACATAATGTTACTCTTTACTTCAAACAAGACATGGTGAAGATCAAAACCAGAGAGCATCTTGACATACAAATGATCAAAGTCACAACCAAAAAAAACGTAAGAAATACAGGATATCCATTTAGAAATAATGAGACGTGTCAGTGTTATTCTGTATTTCTATTATTTTAGCAGTTAAGTGTATGAACTACATTACACTGGAAAACAGGTACTCAATTAATACAACTAATAGAAAAAGAACTGCCATTTGAAATAACCGATTAACCATTTGTCAAGTAAAAAAACAGATATTTGCAACTTCTCAATTGTGACGATTTTCTACTTTTTGTTGTTGCATTGTATAATACTAAATGGTCAAATATATTGGGATATTTGAATAGAAAATTGTAAGACTCTGGGAAATCCTAATGGCAGACATATTTTTGCCAATTTATATAAAAAAGAATTAATAATAATAATAGCAGCCCCAGACTGGAGTCTTTGCTACCAATGAAAACCAGAGATCAACCTGTTACACCAAATATACATTTCTTATTTAAAGGGGTCCAGCCTGCATCATTCTATGCATCAGTTGTGTAAAAGCAGCTGTATAACCCTCCTGCAGAGGAAGTGAGAGAGGATTGAAGCGAGGACACAGTCTGGTCTGGATATTTGGTTTAGGAGAACAGTAAAAAGAATCCTCCAGCACAACCGGCCAGAGGGGAAAAAAAACCCACCATAGCTCAACAAGAGCCACAGTCGCCATGGAAACAGGCTACCCCCCTCCATCATTTCTTCTCCAGCCTCCTATTTTCTCTTTCATTTAGCTCCATCTCCATCAGCCTATCTTTCCTTTTCTTTCTCTATCTGCCATTCGGTCTATTCCCTTTTCACGACTAAACCTCCCTTCCTGCTCTCTCAGTTTTCTATTTCCTCTTCTCATCCTACGCTTCCCGGCTTCGCTCTCTTCTTGTCTCTCTATCAATCTAATTCAATCAGAGTACGATTTACTGGCATGGACGGGAGAGAAGTGATGCTGCAGGACGTTTTTAATGCTCTGCAAAGCAACCGTTACATTTAACTCAGAGGCACATCAGCCTTTCTAAGACTTTTCAATGAATTCAGTGCGCTTTGTTTGAAAGATAATTAACAGCGGAAATGATTTGCAATCTGCATTTTCCAAGCAAAGATATTTCAAACATTTACTAGTACCCGTTTCATATTAGTTAATTGTGTTGATCACCAGATTATATTGCTGCAGCCCTAATTGTCACATATCTAAAAACATTTAAGTTGCCAAACTGTAAGAATTTTCCTTGAAATGTAAGTAACATTTCCATGTTTTTCATAAAGAATATAAAAAAAAATAGTATTTGATGAGGGTTATATCAGACAAATCATATAGATAACATTAGTTTTAAATGTTAAAATACAGACGCAAATCAATAAATACAGAACTCAACAGAAACATCTTAATAAAAATCCTATTTGGTTTAAACTACATTTGAAGAAAATCCTACATCAAATGTTTTCTCTCTTGGCAGAAGGATCTTTTCCATTTCATCCATGCATATGCTGCTATTTGAAAAAGCCACCAGCATTGATTCACTTGTATTTACATTGGCAGTTTAACACATATCTGGCTGTTCTGGTTCAGTGAAGCTAAAGACATTGTGTCTTAGAGAAAAGCTATTTTTGTCCCAACATCAACATGCTCTCATCATGTCAACCTGATGACAGGCTAGCTCACATATAAACAACTCTAGTTATGAAGAATCTGCTCAAATAAGCAAGTGAATTCATCCGATCACCTGAATAAAAAGTGAAAAGACAGCCATCATTGTTTCTGAAGCCCGAGCTATTGTCTTCAAGTTGAAATATCTTGTGTTGACCTACATACAGCCAAACAATATTAACTGTAAAGAAGCTGGAAATAGAAGTGAATTGAATAACCTTTTAATGTGTCTGCTCTAGGTATTGCAAGTTAAACAGTTAAGACAAATCATGCTGAGATTTTTGAAGAATAATAAATTCGTCTTCCCGACTGGTTTAACAGTAGTAACACTTAACTTTTAGATGTAAAGGCGTGTTAAACTGTGGTAACTCTGGTCCTGTCCGTGCCTTCAGCATTTCTCCTGCGCGTCGTTCAGAAGATTCAACTGTTTTGACAGCAGTGAGTTGAAGGTATCTTAACGATTCTGTCCGACATACTGAGGCAAAGTCCACTTTAAGATTAGAGCCACCAAAAGCATGCATTTCATGCTTTATAATGGTATGAGCAATCCATGCATACTAGACTAACTTAAAAAAGAACCATTTGTAATAATAAGCAGTATTTGGCGTCATGTTCTGTATTAGCAGCGAGTTACAAGGCCCACAAATGAACTTGAATAACCTTCCACATGTAATCTAGTGTTTACTGTTCATCATGTCACATTTGATAGGATATTGTTCGTAGTGAATTAGATTAGTGACAGTGACAGTGGACTTATTTTAAGTTATGAGTCATTGATAATACCACTGGGGTGCAGTCAGTTCAAAATGATGCAACACCAACTTTGTTGTTCTTTAAAGGAAGTGTTGGCTGGTAATGAAGATGGCGTAGCTGTCCCTTTGATATTGGTGTCTATGCCGTTATGCATATGATATTCCCTATACATCTGCAACATTACACTTCATATTTTGTATCGGAAGTATGTCATAGTCCGTAGTGCTGTTGTAGTTTTATTTGTTGAGGAGTTCATGGTATTTAGTGCACTAGGTTTGTGAAACCTGTAGTTACTGAAAGTATCCGAGTGTTAGCACCACCATCGCTGCTGATGGTATAAGCGTTAGCTCTCCACCTGCTGCTACTCTACTACAGGTTGGTGTTTGGTTACTTTTCAGCAGGGGTCACCCATCACCTCCTTTTTATTGGTTTGACTTTTTGTTAGAGTCCCCTTTCACCTACTGACCTGCTCTGATGTCTGTAAACACGAGTTAAGAGGCATAGATTTTGTTACGTTCACTCTGGAAAAATATTTGTGTCGCTAACATAGCTGTATAGATTATCTTTAAAAACAACTTGATGGTTTTTAACAAACATTCTTTTGCCAGAAACATGATTCTTTATCGCGGTTGTATGAAATCCTGGGCAGGACTAGTAACCAGGAATATGATCTCTTCTCTGATAGAATATTGAGTAACACTTTTAGAGGCCACCCAAGGTACATGACGGTGTTTTCCTCAAGTGACAATCACATCTTCCTCCACAGCCTCAGCCAAAAGCTCTTTCACAACCAAACCCGTGACATTATCTAAATATAAAAAAATACATTTAAATGTCATCATTGTGACATAACAGTACCACAAATCACGGCTTGTTCTCTGAAAGAAACAAAAACATGTCTTACTGATATTTTGAGTTACTACGAAACAGTATTATGTGTTATTGCTAATGCTATATCCTCAAATTGAACCTTTCTTTACATTTGTGCAAAAAGACAATGGAGGCATAACGAATGGCAAACTATTTATTTTTACTTTAAGTAGGTGCTGCAGCTGTTCTGTTGCATGCAGTGTGCGTACAATTGGGACATATTACGTCTGCATAACATTGCAACGTGAACTTTGAGCCTCTTGCTCATAAATCTGCTGTGCAAAAGGTTGTGGGTCGGAAAAGTCAGCTGGCTTGGTCTCTGCAAATGCAAGCAAGACATCGTGGTATTTTAGGCATTCTGCATTTGACATAATGTGACATACTAATTTCTTTCTGGCATTTTAAATAATATAGTAGTATGGGAAATGGAACACCAATAATGTAGTTAAAGTGGAAATTGCTCAAATTATAAGACTGCGTGACACTCATTCTCGTGACGACAAATTCTTCTTGATTAAAAAGTGCTTGTGTTTCAGAAACTAAACAAGAGTGAACTCTATTCACTGTGCGGCTAGGAGGAAGATGATGTGTGGGAAAGAATACAATTATTTATGCAAATCATCGTTCAAGTCATCGTTAAAATCTTCTCCTGAAGGTAAAATACTTGAAACAGGTTTTACAGTCTTCAATATGCTAGCTAGATAACAATCACTCAAACCAAACGTCTGAGCTGCTATTTGAACAAAGGGTATTTTCACGAAACCGGTTTTGTTATTAGGATTCTTGACATCCATTGACTTCACCTTTCCTGCGACGATCATTAACTTGCGCAGTGGAAAAAAACACTAACCACGAAGATGCTTGGCTTTGCCTGAGGAAACGGGCTAACTGTCACCTGGCTGTGATGTCGAGACACATGAAGCACGGACTTAAAGGGCGCCACAGGAATACAACGTGCCAGCCTACATTCTTTCTCGACTTCATTCACTGCAGCCCTGTGGCTAATTATACACATATCTTCTGTCCAACTGTCCTAGACCATTGCATGTATCTCCTAACTAAAAGCATTGTTGTTAAACTTAAAAACCTTCCTTGAAAGATTAAGTTAAAATGTAAATGTCCATTAGCACACAAAGGCGCACACTTATCCTGGCATTCTATTTAAAAAGCACACACACACAATCTGTGTAAAGCCAAAGGTCAGTGTGGCAAGGAGCAGGGTAGGGGGGGGGGGGGGGGGGGGGGGGGGGGGGTGATTTATATCTAAATAGGGGAAAGGTTTCCGGCCTAACACATCTATACCTTGCACAGCGCAGTCGGACTTGAATAACCTGACGAGAAGGGATCATAAATATGTGTTTTTCCACAGATTATCAACATCCTATTGCTAAACATGTAATCGCAGGTTTAACACAGAGGTCTGGTGCACAGAAAGCACAGGACAAGAGCAACACTTGGACATCAAGTTTGTGTGATAGGACAAGAAAACACACCAGCAACTACTACAACCACTATTTCTTAAAGTGGAGCAATATTACTGCTGTATAAAATGAATACCACATTTCAAACATTTGCCCTCCCATCTACTACTACTAGATTTCTAAAGCTGGCAAAACAAACAGACAATGTGGCGGCTCCTTTCCCTACTCTGTCTAATACAATAAATATCATAATCAATTTAAAAAGGGAAGACAGAGAATGAGTACAGAAATACTTTTTGTTTTTTAGTCTTAAAGAATATACAGTTGTGCGCGGTGTCAGATTGAATGACGAGTTTCGGCCCCCTCCATCCTGACTGAAACTAGTTAGCCCTGTTCACGATCGGGATGCAACAGAAAGCGGTGGAACATTGACTCGACCTGTGGCAGAGCTGTATATTTTTATCGGAGTTATTCTCTTACTACAGAGCCTCTCACTTAAAAAGTTAATAAGTCGCCATCTCATTAAAACAAAAAACATCCAAGGGGTTCAACTTCTTTGTAATTTGAATCTGATTCTTATTAGCTAGAATGATCATTTTCCGTTAGCACTGCCAATCAAATGTACCCTTCCAGGTCCACCCCACAAACATCACTTTGTATCAGCAGCTAAATACTAGTCTCAATAATGTGACTGTGAAATCTATCGCTTGGTTCCCAGAAAAGTATGCCTTTGTGTGTACTTCATAAGACCTTGGTATCTGTAGCTCAATGAATTTTAGTCAAAATCCACACAAAAGGTCTCAAACACGGATATAAAAACATTTCATGCTGTGCATTCATCAGATTTCTTGGAAGGCTGGGGCAAAAACAAATGGTGGCCTTGCAAATAAAACGTATTGGTATCGGTGACACTGCTGCTAATACTGTATGAAAAAACGAATTTCCAAAAATCACAATTACACTGAACAACAAAATTAGACCCCTTCCAATGTGTCGGTTTTTATCAAAGTATTCTTTTTTTAGGAGCAGCTCTTTGACTTGACAATGTATACTAAAAATAATAATATAGCCTACTAATACTGCGGAGCTCTCTGTTTTATTTTAGCCTGACCCCACAGCAGAGGTGATGATGCAACACGACTCCTTCAAAGATCCTCTGTCCACTAACTGCTTTTGGTTCAACAAAGATATTAAGGTAAGATACAAGGGCTTATGGAAATACACACAAAAAACATCAACACCCTATACATTGGCCAATAATCATGACACAAAAATAAAAACCTATTGCTGTTCTGAGATTGCATCTTCATGGTTTATTCTACCTATTGTTAATCGCTTCGGATAAAAGTGTCAGCTAAATAAAACTTAATGTAATATGTCCTGAACCTTAAATAGAAAAGTATGTCATGCTCATTCCTTCAGTACACAATCTCTATCGTTAATCTTAGAAATTACCCGTGTGTTTGCACATTTCCTGTCTTCACTTTTCCTTTCTGTGGCTTTTCCTCTGTACTGAAAAACGAAAAAGGTCCCTAAAATACCCCAAACCTCAGAATGAAAATAGAAGACAAATCGAATCAATGCAAAAGATATAGAGTTTAAAAGTGAATGTGAAGGGCTGGTTAAACTGTTGGTTCCATCAAATGCAATTCTGTTTCAGGAGACAGTCAGTGAAGGTTGCTGGAGTGTAACTTCTGGTGTAAACAAGAGGTACTGCAGCCAGGCAGCGTTACCCCAAAGTAACCCCTATCTTACCCCCCCCCCTAAACACTAGTTAGAAAACGGACCCTAGAACAAAAGTGAAAAATCACATCCCAGAGAGGAACACATTCCTGGGTCGGACCACACTGGGGAAAAGCTCAGAGGGTTATCCGGGTTTATCAGGACGGCTGGACTCTATCCAAGGATAACTCAGCCAGAAAGCACAGGAGCTATGACCGGACATTTCAAAGTTTACTATTGAGAAGTCCCTTTAATGACGTAATCTGGGCTGATGCTGGGGTGGGTTCTCTCTTTCTCAGGCGACTGAGCACCACAACAAACCACGGCAAATAATCAATTTGTGGTCAGCAGTGTGACTTTTCTTTTTTACCATCATTAATCAAACCATTTTATGAGATATGAGAAGAATGTCATTTGTGTGTTTGGTAGAGTTTTATCACAATGTTTTCATACCTTAGTACATCTTACAAACGAGATATCTCGTCTTACTCACAGATACAGAATCAGGAGTACATACTGTGTGTGGTGTGTCTTTTAAATCACCACCACGTTCTTGTACATTTTTGCACTTGGTGATTGGGTTTTATCTTGTTGTGTTTTCAAAGAATAAACTACTGATAGAAAAACTACGTCATCTTTTTCTATTACAGTGGAAGGAAATAGCCAGTGCAGTGGTATTGTTAACGTTGAATGCATATCCATTGCAAACTTTAATGAGTTCCATGGATCCATCAATCAAGGAAAAATGTACAGAAAATGTACTGTTATACGGTGCTTAACCATCTGAAATGAAATACAGCGCAAACTATCAGAGAGAGGAATTGTGTTATTTACTTATGCCCCTTTCTGTTGACAACAATGTAAAGCTGTTGTTTACTATTCAAGTACGACTGGTCAGACTAAGATTAAGTGCTGTCGATAAACATACACTTAACTAAATTAGAAAGGATTCAATCTAAAGAGGAGGATCATAAGAAATGCAATATATAGTCATACAACCTTTTAGTTGGAGCAACATAATAAATGAATAATGCTTCTGAGTATGTGTAGGTGACATGCAGTTATTGATGTATGCAGCAAATACCACAACATTATCACAATATCGATGTTACTGTATATAGAATTTTGCAAAAACATGATCGTTTAGGATGACACTATAACATCTTAGTTAACTATTGGCAAGCTCAGATTCGGATGAATACTGCATTATGCAGGCTTCTCACAGGAGACCATGGCAGTTACGTAAATTTCCTTGAAAGCAGAAACTGAAAAGGATGTCTCCTCTCTGCCCTCTCTTTCTCAGTTTCTCCCTAGAACAATTACGGATAGATTTCTTTAGGAATGCTGATGGGATTACTTAGCAACAAGGCCACTAGACTTGCAGCTGGTTTCTCTGCAGACATTTCAGCAACATGAGTTTTACCATGACAGCTACACTCAGCCACAACAAACCCTAGGGCTTTGACTGAGCAGCCATGAAAAAGAGGCCATGAGGACTTTACACTGACATTCCCAGCCATAAACACTAATCAGCTGCCTGCAAAATAACTTAAGACATTAAAGACAATAAAATAAGTAGAGACATTTTAATTATTTCTCCGTTTTAATACCTAGACTTTCGATCAGTTGTGGAAAATCAATAACACTATATATTTAGTAATTAATGTAGCCTACTAGCATACACTTTTAAAAGGTATTTGCACTTCACTTAAGTATTTTATGCTTCTGTTTACTTTTACAACACTACAATTAAAAAGGAAAATAGTGTACTTTAATCCTCTACATTTACTGTTGACTTTGGTTCCTTGTTACTTTGCAAACTGAGATCAATACAACAAATTTAAAAAAATGAATGATGAGCAATAATATGATTAAATAAGCAAAACCCTTACCAGATACAAATATGAAATCAATGTTCACATAAATGCATCAGTAATGATCATTCAGTAAAATCATATTCAGTAAATTATTCAGAAGTATACCATTCTGTTAATGATTAATTGTACTACATGTAGTTTAAGTATATTTTGATGCTAATCGTTTTGTAGTTTTTACATAACAAGTAACATGACAAGGCAGGAATTTCACTTTTAACAGAAGATTTGTGCACTGTGGTATTTCTACTTTAACTTGAGTAAAACATGTGAATACTTTCTCCACCACTGTTCTCAATACAATTGAATAAAAACCAACTCACACTTACCAGGTTTTTTTTCACTTATAAGCTTCATAGTGAGGCAAAATATCAGCTCACAGGTGTATACAAAAAACAAATCAAAAAGGAAATAAAGCAAAGTGTCGCTTAAAAGCTTAGGAGTCAGTCGGTCTTGGGTATTTAAAGAGGCTTCACACCCTTAAGAAATGACACTTCACTACATTCTGCGCAGAAACTGCCAAGTTTTCCCGGATGATCTTTACTCACATCATCCTGAATACTCAGTAAATAAGGGGGTGGGGTCCTTCTGCCTCCTGAAGACAAGAGGCAAGTGCTGATTGGCTGAAGCAAGCCAGTCCCACTTATCAGGAGCTTTTTCACCAGCGGGCGACCAACCAATCACAGCGTAAGAAATGCAAACTGAAGGTTCATAATAACAAAAGGGGGTCTCCCTGACGACAGCAGGCTTGTAGATTGGACAAATCAACCTCCTAACCATATAACATGATGGAAAAAAGGGAGTCATGAGAGGACAATATGGTCATCTCAAAACATAAAGAACAATGAAATAAAAAGGGCAGTACAAGAAGAATCAAAGGTTGTTGCTCTCTTGTTGTAAAAGGGGATAGTTGTGCAAATCCCTGCTGATTTAAGTGTTACACAGTCCATGGTTGCAGCATATACACAACAAAATAGAACACACCACCGCTTCCTTCCACCACCAGAAAAAATGTCAGAACATGCAAAAATAATAATTGTCGAATGTCCCCAAACTGTTTGACACTTACGGGGTCTGCTCCGTCTCACCGACTCTGTCCTTTTCCGTAGCCTGCATCTCTTCGCCGGGGACCCGTTGCACTCCGCATCTTCCCCGCGGTGCAGGTGGTGCATGCTGGCCTCAAAGCTGCTGCTGCTGCTGCTGCTGGGGCTGGAGCTGCTGTTGGGTCCAGAGCTGGAGCTGGAGCTGGAGCTGAATGTGGAGCCACTGCAGCAGCTACCGTTAGCGTGAAATGCCTGTCCGTTGGTGACATGAAAGGGCCCCGACGCTCCTTTCTTGTCCATCATTGACTTGGCTTTATCCATGGCAGCAGCTAGCCTAGCCTAGCATCTGCAGTGAGGAAAACAAATATACAAGCCCCGCCGCTAGCGTTGACAATCCCGGCTACCGTAGCTTAGCTTAGCCTGTGTTAGCCCCCGCTGTCTTCAAGTTAGTGACACGGCAGCTAACGAATCCTTCCACTAATGCAACGTATTTCACACAGTGATATAACGCTAAAATGTGACGTTCATTACTGCTCTGAATGAAGTATAAAATTATAAGGCGAACGGACGCTAAAATACAGTGTTTCCTCTGAGGTCACTCTCGGTCATTTCCCCACATTCAGATCCGCTGGTAGGCGCAGCAGCAGCCGGTATAGTGTGTGAGTGAGTGACGTCACAGCAGCTCCTCCAGCCAGCAGAGAACCAGTTTACCTCCTCCGACCGGTTTTCTCTTGTCTCTGCAAAACAATTACACCGTAATTGTATCCTTAAACACAAAGATATGCAAGAGAGGACTCGCCTATAAATGTATACAACATTGTCTACACAACATTACAGCAGTGAAGTTCGGTTGCATCCCTGAGCACTGGATTTATTAAACAAAGTAAAACATAGCCTACACAGTACAGGTTCGTGCAGCTGTGGTCTCTTTATGTATTAAAGTCGGTGCTTGCTGTCACTCCCAGCAGCTTTATACCTTTATACACGTGTGAGGTGCTCACAAAGCTGCCTGTCAAAATGAGCTCACCAAAATGAACTTTTGTAACCTCGTCTATGTCTTTATTTGTCTTTCTGCTCTGCAGGATCGTCATCCTGCAAATAATTGTTAACTGTTGTAGCTTTCTGATTTCCGTAGGCTATAATATGGCATCTTGACCACAATTAAATTAAAAATAAAATATAATTTGATTTAATGACATAGCAAATAAAAATACTTTTTTAAAGTCCCACTGAGAATAAGATTTTATTAAAAGGACACACTTGATATAATTATTTAAGAGATACCTGATATCAACAGAGCATTGGATGAAGCACAGTGAAGATACAAAGATCAAACAACAATTTCAGTTTGATAAAGAAACTAGGACCATTGATGAGACCTAATCTCAATCTCAATCACTAATTAACTATCATTGTATGCACTACTGTTTCCACTTCAGCAAACATTATCAATTACTGGAAAATATTCTGTAATGAAGACTGAATTCCTATAATGTCAGAATCTGACACTTAAAAGGCATGCATGCACATTGTGAATAGCAATGGACTCTTGCAATGCTGCCATCTTCTGGTTACAAGTCTGTGTTGTACCAAGATACTTTTCTGATTACTGAGTAATTTAAATAAATGTTATTCTTTTTTATAAGTTTAATAAGTAGGCTACTTTTATAATATTTTTTGCACCATATGCCTATCATAATACTCAAATAAATTAATCTGGTAGGCTAATGTTGGTATGAATCCGGTCAACCTTTTATTGTCACTAAAATCTCTCCTCTTCTTCTGCACATAAGGATGCAATGTTTGTATGCTCCAGAAAGCACGTATCTACAGGAAACATGTTATATTACCCGTTTTCATAACTGAAAAAGAAGTAATTCTTCTTTATTTAAAAAAGGACTAATTCCAGTGATACGGGCTTTCTTTTTTCCTAAGTTATCCAAAGACATATAGTTAATGAAAAAATACATTGCTTTTTCTTCTGTGTTGTGACTGGATGTGACTCACTTAATAAAAGGCCTGCAAGGGTAAATGCAATCCCACATTTCATATCAAAGGACAAAAAAGCTATTTTAGAATTAGAGGAAAATCAATTGGAAATAATTTAAAACCCACTAAAAGAATCACACACATTTATCGCATAGCTGTTCCCTCTGTGTCCCACACAGTTGCTGCTTGGGCAATGATTGTGGGTAATTGCTTATGTCTTTTACTCAAACCAAACACTGAAGATTTGATCATGTGACACATAATTCAGCTGTCTAATGTGATGAGAAAAATCCGATTTTATTCAAAAATATTGCATGCAACACAACAAAGAATATGTGGAACTCCTTCTAGGTGTTACAGTTGAGAAATAATTCAACCTTTTTCAGAATATGCTTTTGCGGTGGTTAGCTTAGCATAAATCAAAGACCGGAAATAGGGAGAAACTCGCTGTGCTACATTACATAATTAATACATATTGTGTCAAATCCACATCATGAACAGGATAATATTAAAGATGATTTAAGCACTTTGTCTGGTTCTGAGGAAGTTGAAAGCGGTTGTCTTTCATTCCACTAGGAATGTCCTTATAAGTTCAGCTTGTTGCACAGTCTTGAAAGCACAGAGATTTAGCACCAAGAAGAGAGGTAAAACAATGAATCTCTCTTTGTCCATCTACTGTTTCTACCAAGGAAGTTCAGTCCCGTCCCAGTTGTACGCCTTTCCTGTCTTCTCAATACTCAGTGTCTCTATGATGTTCATCAGAGCGCTTACAGATTGTTCGGTGCTAAACAACTTCTCTTTTGGTACATTCCTGTGATATGGCCGGGAGAGGTCTGTGTTGACTGTTCCTGGATGTAAGCACACACACACCACCTGGAAAAAAACAGACACAATTTATCTCATGTTAGATTATTGAAGCTTCCAAACATCCTCACATATACATTTCATTATAGTGATTACAGAACAAGACCCAGTAAACAATACATCTAAATTCAGATCTGGTTTCAAGTGCTATGCAACTTTAAAATATTTATTATCTGATATTTGTACATGATTCTTGAAACTGTTTATATTCCTTGTTGTTGTGTAGTTCTGTTTCTTTTTTGCTGTTGTGTTCTTGTGAAAATGTATTGTACTTTCGCCTTTCTTGGAATACAAGCTCTTAATATCAGGGCTACTTCTTGATAAAATAAAGATGAAGAAAAATGTACTCTATGAAATATATAGGCTAAGGATTTATATGCATGTATAAGGGCATCATGCATCCCTTTTTCCAACATTTCCCAATGTTCTCGCAGCTAGTCTTGAAAGAGAGGTACTAATATTTGGTTTGAATAAAATCAGAAATACAAAAATATAAAATGTTCAGTCAACAGTCAAACCTGTACCTTTGGTCGACTGCGTCCCAGCTCTATAGACAGATTCCTGGTCGCCATGTTAAGAGCTGCTTTGGACATTCTGTAGCTGTACCAACCACCAAGACCTGAGAGGAGGAAAGGGGGTGGAGGATGGAGAAGGGAAAACATATTTGAGTAGCACAAATTAATCATACTTTACGACATTAAAGGTAGGGTAGGTAAGTTTGAGAAACCGGCTCGAGATCGCTAGAATTTGAAAATACACAACCGGAGAAAATCTGCCACTTCCTTATAGAGCCTCTCCTCCAACACACACAAACATGACCAATGAGGGCACGAGATAAGTTTGTGCACAGATGGAAGGCTGACAGGCAGGTAGGCCATCCAGTTATTTTAGCCGGGCCGGCTAAAATGATTGGTCGTGCTTTTTACAGTACTACGGCTTCCACAGATGACATTTTTTTATGGATTTTTTTGTCAAAGCACTTAAGATATTCATTGCTATCGGGATGTTAAGAGCATTCCATGGAATATAACAAAAAGTGTATCTCGAGCCGGTTCCTCAAACTTACCTACCCTACCTTTAACATGAACACAACAGAGTATCCAGCAGTAGCACAATACCCACCGTTGTCGCCAATCGATCCCACTTTGGCGGTAATGTTGACGATGATGCCGCTGTGCTGCTTGGCTTTCTCATCAGGCTGTTGACCGAAACTACCTCCACCCTTCTGAAGGAGGGGGGCAAAATACTTGGCCATGACCAGGGGACCCACTGTGTTGGTCGTCAGGGTGGAAATGATGCCCTGAAAGGGGAAAAAAGTCAATCAAAACAGATCAATGGTGCATGAATGGATGTGAATGGGTGACTGTGGTTCACTGGATATACACAGCCGGGGCACAGGTTATGGGATGGTAAGAATACATTTAGTGTAAGAACCAGAATAGAAAAATAACTTTTTAATACAGAGGGATCAAACCCACTCAGTACACACCTCTATCTAACACATCTATTGGAACAAAATGTTGGCGAAAGTATGATGACTTTCAAACCTTCTCAAGCATCAACACCTGTAATCTAATCCTAATCTATATTTTCAGCATTAATTGCCACTGCCTCCTTCTGTCCTCTTCTGTGGTGTATTTTAAAGTCAATTAACAATAAAAAGCAGGTAAAATTAACAGAAAAGTTTAAATGGCCTGCTGTTTACATTGCATTTAAGCCGATTTGAAAGTCAGATACTAAACTATTCACACAAGATAATTGTGTTTCCCAAAATTGTCATATATCTACTAATAGGTAGGCTCCCTTAAATTACGAGATTAGTTAACGAGGTTTGGAACGGGTTATGAGTAGTAGATCATCTAAAATAATAAATGTTATTAAAAGCACTTTTAGTATGCCATCCCATGAGCCAGAACCTCACTTTTATTTCACTTTTTATGATGGGAGAGGGAGAGCAGCCCATACTCCCATATGTTCATGGTTTACCTGGGCAGTGACCTCTCTCAGACTGGTCTCTCCTTTTCCAGAGGGATGAAGCATGGCCGCAGAGTTGACGATCAGATCCAGCCGACCGAAGCTCTCCTTAACCCGGTCAGCAGCTCCACGGATGTCCTCCTCCCGGCTCACGTCCAGCCTGAGGACCGTCACTTGGCCCGGGTGTTGGTCTGCCAGTGCCCGCAGCTCGGTCGCTCCGTCCGGGTTCCTGCATGTCGCTATAACGGCTGCAGGGCTTTTGTTTTTTAAGATATGTTTGCAAAATTCAAGCCCCAGTCCTCTGCTTGCCCCTTGGATGAGAGCCACACGTGAAGCCATGACAGGTAAGTGACAAACACTGGAGGCGATGGAGAGCAGTTGTAGCCTATTGCTGCCTTCACGTACACCCAAAACGTCGTGATTTTATATTTTCAGGAATAAAAGCAAGGAAATATACTAACAAATGTCTTGTGGAAACACACGTTAACAACTTGTATAATAGTTATTTAGAGCAGCACTGATAATGTGCTATGAAATCATAATTTCCACTTTAAGAAACTCTAAGAAATTCAAATAGGAAGCTAACGAGGGGACGCTGAATGCAGTATGTTTCACAACAGTCAAAGTACGCCCTCTGTAGGTCATAAGGAAGACACTTACACAACTCTGCAATGCATGTGTCTGACTGTGCATAACATTGCACTGTGCACTGACCAGATGTGGAACTACATCCCCTTTTATTCAATATACAGTACATACATACATTGAATATAATAGTGTTTGTCATTTAATTAAACACCAATTTAAGCAACTCAATCCTCCAGTCCAGTAG